AGGAATCAATGTCGAGACAATTTAAATGGGTCATGCCGGATCGATATAGAGAACTGGATGTTGAACCAACAAGCATGACACACACATAACTTATGACGTGGTGCTGAACAATGATGGCAACAAATAACTGAGTGCGCTAGGAGACGGCTTGGATGGTGCGCCAGGAGCGACTTAGGTTGTGTGCCAGCGACTAGATGTTGAACCAAGCGCGACACACACATAACTTATGACGTGGTACTAAACGATGATGGCAACAGATGACTGAGTGTGCCAGGGGGCATCTTGGATGGTGCGTAAGGCGGCTTAGGTTATGCACCAGAGAGGGTGGCTTAGGTGGTGCTCCAAGAGGGACAACTTAGAAACGTACGCCAAGAGGGTGGCTTAGAGTGTGCGCCAAGGAGGCGACATGGGTGGTTTGCATGATATATCACCATGCTCACCATGATGGTGCACAAGGAGGTGGCTTAGGTGGTGCGCCAATGAGGACAACTTAGGGACGTGCACCAAGAGGGTTGCTTAGAGTCTACGCCAAGGAGGCAACTTGGGTGATTTGCATGGTGTATCATCATGCTCACCATGATATATGTATAATAGCAATAAAGGTTATTTATGAAAGAAAAAAAAAATAGTTTCATCGGACAATTATAAGTATGGGAACAAATTGCATTTTATTTTATAAAATAGATGATTTAATTTATAATTCTATTTGCCATTTATTTCATAAAAAGAAATATGATTTGTTCATGTGTTTATAGATATTCGATAAAATTAATTTTTTAGATAGATAACTTTTATTGTAATAAATGATTAGAATTATTGTTGTTCGTCTAAATTGAGACACAAAAAACAGTATAGATGAATAAGGAGAGGAAGTTATCATATTCAGGCGAGGGGCACACACTAGCAGGGACCCCTAGAGTTTGTGTTCGGTAATTACTATATGTATATATATATAGGAACAAAAGTCTAGCTTCACCTTGAAGTTCAGCCATAAACTTTTCCCCGATCAACTCTATCCATTTCGATCATCTCAATCATCTTTATCCATCAGCATTTATCGTGATCTCCGGTACAGTGCTGTTCAAACTAGGGGCAACTTTCCGTTGCCGCGACGGTGCAAAGTTACTCAGACAAGGGGCAACTTTCCGTTGCTTTGAAGTGCCACATTGTTCTTCAGACTGGGGGCAACTTTCCGGTTGCAGGGATCTGGGGTTGTGCATCTCAGTGACAGATTTTCGGCGTGTCCAATTTTGATCCACATCGAAAATAGTTTTGAAAAGTTTTAATAAAAGTTAACTTTGTTCAAATCATCTTTTTACGACTAAGACCATTTTTGGACCAGAAGCGGAAAATTTTCAGTACCATAACTTTCAAATTCATTGATTTCAAAATAGAGTTCTCCTGCTCTTGCATTACAATCGAGGTTGCTTTTTTGGTACATTCATAAAGAAAACTTGAAAATGCTAAATAAGCAATAAATTTGGGGCATAGTTGAATCAAGTATCTCTGCGTCCCCTCCCAGAGCTGGACGGAGCATCTGATGCCAAGCTAGGCCCAATCTGTGCCTCTTCATTGAGCCAATCCAAGCACTCATCGGACAAAGTGCAACTGAAAGTGGAAGCAGGGGCCAGGAGCTCTCTAGTCCTCCATGCTGTGGCATATCGGGCAAGCTGTGCACCCCGGACCGGGAAAGCAGCTGGGTACTCAATCCCCTCCGGTGGGCAAGTCTGATCATGGCCAAACTGACGCAGAAACCGGAACGGAAAATAGAATACGCTGTGGGTTAGACCAATCAGTTGGATCCCAATCAGCCGAGACATACTATAGCTCATTGCCGGGAGGCTGAGCCAAGGGCAACGCCAAGCAATGCCGTCTGCAGACAAATTGCACATCCAATCGAACCACCACCTTTCGTCAAGAGCATTGACTAAGCGCTGCCGAAAGAAGTAGCCTCGAGCTGAATAGGCCGGGCAAGAGTCCACAACCTGCAATTTATCCATTAACCATACCTAGGGGAGGGATGGAAAATGAGAGAATAAAGAACAGAGAGATGTACGATGAGAAAAAAA